GTTGAGAGTATAGGTAACTTTCATAGACAGTTAATTATTGTCATTCAAAGCAATTTAGAATAATTTGTTTGACACAGTTTTTTATCCTGTGCTAGAATTCCTTAGAGGGCATTCCTAACAGCAGTATTATTCTTTTCTGTTTGAACATTTCTAGCACTCATACTAAGAAATTTCGGATATATTTTGTTGGTAGAGCCAATAGAGTTTGCTAAAGACTTGGATGTAGGGCATGGAAGAAAGAAAAATTAATAAAGATCACAGGGCTAGTAAGTGGCAGAATTGGCTCCAGAATCTATTCTTAACCACTATGCTATGCTTCTTCTTGGACAAGAGAAAAACAAGCAAAAAATAACTAAAAAAGAATGGCCCACGAGGTAGGAGTAAAACCAGAAAATGTGATGTTCAGGAAGCCAAATTAAAGAAGTGTTTCAAGAATGAAAGAATATGTAAGTGTGTCAGATGCTGATATAAGTCAATTAAAATGGGGTCTGAGAATTCACTATTTCATTTATCAAAGCTGAAGTTATTAGTTGTCTTGATAAGAGCAGTTACATGCTCCAAAGTCCAGTTAAGGTATGACTTAATTGTTGTATAAGGATTTACACACAAACTTAATTTGAAACAATAAATATTGCTCTGGCCGGTTTGGCTCAGCGATAAGAGCGTCAACCCACGGACCAGAGAGACCCAGGTTTGGTTCCCACTAAGGGCACGTATCTCAGTTGCAGTTTGTCCCCAGCCCCGGACCAGTCGATGTGTCTCTTTCACATCGATGTTTCTTTCTCTCTTCCTCCTCCTCTCCCTCCTGCTCTGTCTGAAGATAAATGCAAAAATGTCCTCAGGTGAGGATAAAAAATAATAATAAAAAAAAAAATAAAACAACAAACATTATCTCACAGTTTCTTTGGGTCTGGAATCCAGAAGTTGTTTAGCTTTCCTTGGGCTTAAAGTTCTCTTAAGAGGCTGCCATCTGTTACTTCTGCTGTCTTACAGAAATCATACCTTAAATTCTGCTGTCTTCACACAGATCAACCCTGGGACTTTGTGGGAGGACTTATATAAGGATGTAAATACCAGGAGGTGAGACTGGCGACTACCCTGGAGACTGGCTATCACAAAACAGGCCAGAAAGAGAATGGGAGATGAATTAGAGATAATAAATTCCAAAGAAAATTTGGAAGAGTTTGCCAGAAAGGGGAGCAGAGAAATTGGGAATTTGTCCAGGTGTATCTGCAAGTAGATAAGCATCAGCAAGGAACAGAGAAGCTCCAGGCCCAGTAATAGTAGGAATGTAGAAGAGACAACTTGGAGTAGCATCCTCAGGGAAGAGCAACAGGGAAACTCACTTTCTGAATCAGTGAATTCAAATTTTGCATTATCTGGGTGCTTTAAAAAAAACTACTTTCACCCTGGCCAGTTTGGCTCAGCGGTTAGAGCGTCAGCCCGTGGACCAGAGAGACCTGGGTTTGGTTCCTGCTAAGGGCACGTACCTTGGTTGCAGTTTGTCCCCGGACCCGGTTGGGTTTGTGTGGGCAGTCACCAATCGATGTGTCTCTCTCACATTGATGCCCCCCCCCCCCCAACTCTATCTGAAGATAAATGCAAAAAAAAAAAAAAAAATGTCCTCAGGAGGATGAAAAAAAATCTTTCCATTGAGGAAAATTTGTTCCCCTTCTCAGCTTTTCTCTGATATATGCACTTGAGTTTCTGTTCTGTTTGGTTTCCCTTCTAATATACATATACATAAATCAGTCAAACCTACAGAAAAGTTATAGGTATGGGAAAAATAAATTTTTTCCTGAACCATTTAAGAGTAACCATTTAATGGTAATTTGCTAACATGATGCAACATCATGCTCAAATACTTCAGTATATATTTCTTCCAAACAAGAATAGTCTCCTATATAACCCCAATAAAATAATCAAAATCAATAAATTGATTGATATATTATCACCATCTTTTCCTCAGACCCATTCAAGTTTTGCTAGTTGTCCCTACAAAGTCCTTCATAGCAAAATGACACAGTATAGAATCATGTCTTATAATTAGTTATGTCTCTTTAGTCTCCTTTATTCTGGAACACTTCCTCAGTCTTTCCTTGACTTTCATGACACTGACACTTTTGAAGGCTATAATTCTGTTAATTTGTAGAATAGCATTCCGTTTGCATTGGTTTGAGATTTCCTCATGATTAGATTCAGGTTATGTACTTTGACAAGAATATCTCAGAAGTGATACTATGTTCTTATTATGTTCTGTTAGGTGTCACATGATTTCTGTATGTCCCTTGCTAATGTTAACTTAGATCATTTGACTAAATAAGACTTTACTGTGAAGTTGAACCTTTTGTCTTTGCAATTAATAAGTATCCTATTCTTTATCAAACTTCTGATTAGTTTGTTCCCTTATTTATATCATTATGGACTTATGGATTCTATATTATTTAATGTATGTTAATACATTACCATCATAATTTATTTTGATCCTCAGTTCATCCCAGATATTACTAGGGGTAGCTTCTTCAAGCTAGTTTTTATGTATTTTTGATGTGTCCCCTCATTCTTTTAGCACTTTCTTACTTTCTGTTATGAAAAGGTGGCCCAGGCTTTTCTTGTCCTATCTGTGTCCCAGCTTTAGAGTCAGCCATTTATCCAAAATCCTTGATTCCTTTTAGTGGATAATGGTATCCAAAATCAATATTTGGGGTTGTCTGCTCTCAGATATTGGACAGAGCTAGTGAGTGCATGTATGTACACACATGTATATTTACACATGCATATACAAATTTACACCTGTCTTTATCTAAATATATAGTGGAACCATGAGTTCACATCAGTATTTCTAATTTCTATCCAGTACCATAGGATTATTTCTATATTTATATCCTCTTTCTGTATGCATACATTCTTTCTCAAACAACAAAGAACCTGACTTTCATTATCCTTAATTTATTTTATTATTTAATCAATCCCTTATATGTGCCAGTTCCTTGTCAGTATTCTCTCCCTCATGGGCTACTTGGGTTTCAGTACCTCATGGCAGGTGATTGATTCCCCTATATGGACACCCTCCCCACCTTACTTGGGCTCAATTAGAGTGTGTCAGGCTGCCCACACTCACCCTTTTTCCCATATGGGAGTTTTTCTCCTCATTTGGACTCTTACACCCTGCATCATGATGCTCGTCTGCAAGGACACCCTCCTTACCTAATTTGAACTCCAACACTCCAGCCTTAGGTGCCCTCCCATGCAGTTGCTTTCCTCACCTTTCTTGGGCTCCCAGTACCTCACTCTAGGTCACCCCTTCACCTAGATTGCCCTCCTCACCTTGCTCAGGTTCTGACATTTCACTCCAGGCCGCCCTTCTTACCAGGCACAGGGTCAGACATCAGACCATCACCCCATGTGAACAGACCACCCACCTGTTCCAATTGGACCCTGGTATCCCACTCTTGGCTTTCTGCCCGATGGAGATGCCCATCTGGCTTAATATGTGGCTTAAACATCTCCAGTTTCTTTGTTTCTCACATCGTGTTATTTCTGGAGGATAGAGAAATAAGACAGCAGGTGGGCTGTTGGGATGACCTGACACCAACAACTCAGAGGGCAGACCAAACTTGATAGGTTAAGGACATGGTCTTCCATGTAATTGCTCTCACTTCAGACACCAGCTACAAGTTCAGGGGTCCACAAACTACCCTCACCTCTGACCAGCTGGCTACAAATTTGAGGTTCCTGTTACCCCTGCTGGTTTGTTAATTCTCTAGAATAAGTCACATAATTCAGGAAAGCATTGTGCATATCTTACAGTTTTATTATATAGCAAAAGGATAAAATTAGAGCCAGCCTAAAGAAGAAATACATAGGGCAGGGTCTGGGAGGATCACAGATTTGTGAGGCTTCTGTTATTTTCTACTCATGGAGTCAGGATGAGTTACGCTCCCAGAAAATTGATATGTGACAAAATCTAGTTTTGCCAACTATGGAAGCTCACCCAAGCCTTAATGTCAAAGTTTTTATTTGTTTTATTACACAGGCACACACATGACTCACTCTCCACACATGGCTCAGTCTCCAGCCCCTTTCCTTTCCCTAGAGGTGGGGTTTACATCATGTGGCTCAAAGCCCCAGCTTTAATCAGATGGTTGGTCTTACTGGTGTGGCCAGCTCCCATCCTGTATCTGCTTAGCATAAACTGCCTAGGGGCCCACCTTGAGTCACTTTGTTAACATAAACTGTCAGAGCCCACCCTGAATAACAGACACACTTGGGGGTCACTGGGAAATTCCAAAGATTTGGAGATCACCTTCTAGGAATCAGGGACAACAGCCAGCCACATTCTTTATTCCAAGGGTTTAGAGGTTACTTTCCAGCAACCAGGGCAAAAGCCATCCAAATTCTTTACTATGCGAGTTATGGAAAACTAAATTGCTTTCTTCTGTGATATACATATCAATTTTTTACTTTTAAAAGTATCTACTTTGGGATTTCCTTATTACCTTCTCAGATTAATATTAGTTGTACAACAACTTAATAATGGTGCCCTGGCCTGTTTTGTTTAGTAGTTAGAGCATCAGCCCTTGGACCAAAGAGTCCCAGGTTCAATTCCAGTCAAGGGCACATATCTCAGTTGCGGTTCAGTCCTAGCCCTGGTTGGGGTTGTATGGGAGGCAACCAATCAATATGTCTCTAGTTATATCAATGTTTCTCTCTCTCTCTCCCTCCCTGCCACTCTATCTGAAGATAAATGGAAAAATATCCTCGAGTGAGGATTTAAAAAAAAATTAATAATGATTATAATGTACTTATCTATTCATTTTTATCATAGAAATGAATAAATTTTCAGAAACATTCTAATACTAATATATAAAATGATATTGGCATTAGAGTAATATAATCAAACTTATAGTAATATAATCAAGCTTTCAAAGTAAAAGTTTCAATTTATTTGTAGTATATTTTGCCCTTTATCTGTCAATTACATATCTTATTTGTTTTAGGTATGACTTTAGCCTTTCCAGCTTCAGTTCATGATTCTCTGATTTGCAGTAAAACATTTCAAATTCTATATAAAAATGAGGAGGTTGTTTTAAATGATGTTATGATCTTCAAAGTTAAAATGTTGTTGGATGAAAAAAAGGTAAACATCTCTTCATATATATTTAGATAAATATTTTTTAAAGACTCAAGGTGTATTTCTAACTTTCTATAAATATTTAAAAAGTATCTCATAATTTCTCTTCAGATTGAAGAAACTCTTGAGGAAATTGGTTTTCTGTTATCCTTGGACCTACACTTTACAGATGGAGATTATTCGTAAGTCAGCTAACAGATAAATAAAACTCCGTAGTTATTCATGACTATTAGCTGTTAATATTAGAGTCCTCATTAACTTCTTGGAATTCAACCTTTCCCTAATGGTTAGGCCTACTCTTTTGTACCCATGTTGATTCCATGAGCTTCAGGTAGTGAAATCAGACAAGTTGAAGAAATATGAAACAATTTCCTAGGCTCTAGAAATTGTTCTGTTGATATATAATAGCACTGCCATGAGGCATTTAAATATAACTGAGCTCTTTACCACTTTATCACTAGCTAATATTTTTAGTGGCATGAGGGATGCCTTCTTTAGGTAGGACTTCTTTAATTGATATTCAGAGAGTTATCAAGACTAATAACTCTTACACTTAGCAGTTGTTTCTGGTTCCCCTGGAGGAAATTTTAGAACTGACTACCCTGAACTTACCCACACAACTGGACGTACAGTACAGTCATTGATTTTAGGGACAAACTATGCCTATATTTATTTAAGACAAGAATCAGAAATCCATTTAATAATTTTTGAAGGTTTTTTTTTTTTTAATTTCAAATGTACTTGTAGAAATATTTCTTGAGAATTGTATCTAAATTAAGATTGCATGTAGTGCCCTGGCCGGTTTGGCTCAGCACTTAGAGCATCTGCCTGTGGTCCAGAGAGACCTGGGTTCGGTTCCCATTAAGGGCGTGTACCTCGGTTGCAGTTTGTCCCTGGCCCTGGTTGGTTGTGTGGGTGGCAGCCACTCGATGTGTCCCTTTCATGTCAATGTTTCTCTCTCTCTCTCTCTCCTCCCACTCTATCTGAACAAAAAAATGGAAAAATGTCCTCGGGTGAGGGTTAAAAAAAAAAAGACTGCATGTAGTGATTAAGCAATCACATTACTGAAAAGACTACTTGAGATGTCCTCTTTGCTATCCTAAAGGAACAACTACTGCTCCTCTGTAACACTTGTGTTTATTACAGATAATTCTTTAAGGGATTCTATTTTAAAACCAAGTCAGAATTCTTTAAGTGGAATAAACTGAAATGAATAAGTAGTTTATTAGCTGTAGCTAGTTACAATGTGTGTATATATGGGTTAAAATAAATATGTGTGTATATATATTTTGGATATAATTTTCATAGAATTGTTTCAGATATTTTGTGTTTATATCTAAGGACAGACTAAATATCTATAATAAAATATCTACCAATGGTTAGCTTATCTTTAGGAAGCATTTAATAAAAATTTTGTACAGCAAAAATAATTATAAATATCTTTTAGGATTTATTTTGATCAGATTTTACCTATTGATACTACAACCTTATAATAAACAGTATTTCTATGGAAAAAAATTAGTATAAGATGAGATTAATTTCTAACATATCAAAAAAGGCTCACTTTATAAGGACATTAGTGAAAAAAATCCATATCATAGACTGATAGAAAATCTATACATATAATCTTATTGTTATATTATATATTGCTGTCTAATGCAAACATGATGCTTTAAAAATTATTCTCATTATCAGTTTTTAAAAAGTAATTAAATAACTAAATGTTTGAATAGTTTAACAATTTTACAGAATACTGGCCTTTATAAAATATTCTATACTTATATGCAAATATGTTGCTTTTTATAGGGCAGATGATCTGAATGCCTTGCAACTAATAAGTAGCCGAACATTGAAGCTGCACTTTAACCTCCATAGAGGCCTTCATCATCATGTTAATGTTATGTTTGATTATTTCCACCTTTCTGTTGTGTCTGTTACAGTCCATGCATCTTTGGTTGCACTACACCAGCCACTAATAAGGTAAATTTAACCAATACCCTGGTCTTTTATTAATGTAATGTCTTATATTTTTATAGTAAAACTTTGATAAAGGTAACTGAAATATTAAGGAATTTCTAATTCATAGTTATTTAATAAATACTTTTATTTTATACCAAATTAATAAAATTTAAGAACATGAAAACATCAGATTGATAACTTTATTATTATAGAAATAGGAAACAGTCATCAGATAAACTGACCAAGAAAAATAATGCAGTCTGGAAATAACCATACAGCATTGTTTAGCCTGAATCTATGTTTTTATGCAGTACTACTATACTGTAATTATTCATGCTCTGGCAAAGTATATTTATTTTTCTTAGTTGTGTGTGTGTGTGTGTTTGCCTCTTCTCTGAATGGACTAATTTTATTTTCTTAAATCTATTCTACACAGTAGTTCTTGTTTTCTAAGTCATTAACCAATTTTATACATCTTGACTAACCCTTTTAAAATTATTTGATGTATATCATTTCAGCTTAAAAATGCATAAAATTGTGAATCATAATAAATGCACTGGGATAATTATTTTTTCTGCCCACTTCCCTGAGGAGATGAATTTCTTTTTATTGATGTAAATACAATTCAAGCTCTAGTTTTTACAATAAAACATCATCCTTATGGTATAGGCAATTCAAGTACACTTTTCAAATCAGTAAATTAAATGAATAGACTCCAAATTGATTTGATTTTTGAACTGTCTACTTTATAATTTCTGACACAAATCTGATTTCAACAACTGATAATAGGGATGATGCTTAAAGGTTATGTTAAACTAATTTCTCAGAAAACTAAGTAGGTAATTTTGTAGAATTCTCAGGATTTATAGAAGACCAACACAATTTAACATATTGCCCACAAGTAAGAGCCTCCTGTGGCATATCTTTATGTTGTTTTAAAAACTGTAAGTAAGAACCTCTTTCATTGTGTTTTCCCGTGATCACTTTTAGAGCACAGGTCCAGGAAGAAATCTGTTCAATGACTTGCTTTGCCTTCCTTATTCTCTTGTAAGATTAGTTCTCTAATAAATAACTAGTGTTTTGCCATCTTTGTGTTACCTCCTAGGCCTTTGAGAATTTGTTCTCAGTCGCTATAACTTCTATAAATAGGACCATGTTCCTATTATATATTATTTTATCATAAACTTCTTTAAAAATTTTAGATGTTGATTGAATAAATTAATATGTAATGACATGACATGAATGAAACATTCCACACAAGAAAATATAACTTTGAAATAACTTGTATGTAATATTAGTCTTATATAAATTACATTAGGTTTTAGTGATAAAAGTTTGTGTGTTTATAAAATACATTCCTGTAGTTTTCTGTATCTCTTAATTTTGTATTTTCGATAAGAATCCTTAACTAAACTAAATCAACCATTCCTTTTTCTTTGTAGCATTGGCTTAATTTCTCTTCTGAAAAATGTACAGTTCATTGAGGTTAGCTCAGGTTATTAATGTTGCTGTCTAAGGCCCTGAATAGAGTAGTGATATTCATATCACTAATCCTAGTGAGTTAATATGCTTCCTCTTGTAATGCAGCAGTTTTTGCCAGAGACTAGTAGGAGAAAGGGACAGCTCATCTCCTAGAGACTGTTTGCTGGAAGGAGAAGACATTTTTGCCTCAGAATCAGAAACCAAGAGGATTGAGTGTTGGCTCTGGTTAGTGACTGGAAAAGAAAATGAGGTGCCTGCAACATCTGAGGTTCTGTTCTTTACCTAGTTGCCATGGGCCCTGATATACCCTCTCTTGCTGCTAGAATTTTGCCCTGAAAGAAGCAACATCTTTCCCTGCCTTTCTTTGCCTGTAAATGAGAGGTTGGAGAAGGGAAGCGAGGAAAGGGTAAGGGAAAGCTTTTTGCTGGTGGTGTGCTGGTAGAGGGGTCATGTTAAGGGTAACATTCCTCACTATTTATGCTTCGACGAGTTTTTCCTGAAGTTTCATTATAGGTGGGGTTTTTTTATCCTTTAAACAAAAGGAAAAGTTTTTAATTTACGGTATTATCCTTCCTTTAAAACAATTTCTATGATCAACCTAACTATAGCCATTAAATCAATTATATAAAGTAAGTGGGGTTAGGATTTTTTTCTTTGCTTGTTTTTTACATAACCTGTTTGTTATATTTGAATTCTTTTAAGTACAACTTTTATGACTCAATTCTGAAAAACAATTCGTAGCAAGTGGAATTTACCATTGACTTTCGACTCCTTTCTTTGCTGGGGATTTTGATTTTGCAGATGAAGCCTGCTCTCTGCTTATGGCAAAATTTGTTTACTTTCCTCTCTTTTCCCTTTTTCCACACTGCCACGTAGTCCAAATGCTTTGGCCTACTTATAATTAGCTAGTACTTTACCTCAAATAATATTGTGTATGATTTTTAAACTTTCAAACAGAATAGGCTTCTTATTCTATAGAATTTATGATATATTAAATGTAATGTTAATACTAACAACAGTAGTTCATATAATATGTGATTGAGATGCTGCCTTGACAAAGCACTTTTAAAGACTATCTTAATGGAGTTCATAGCCTTTTAGTGAAGAGAGAGAAAAATTTTTTTTTTTTTTAGAAATAGAGGCAACAAATAGATTTAGTAATTTTTCTTTTTCTACATTTAATGGGGAAGCTCTTTACTTCTCTACATAGTATCCATATTTGATTAAATGTTAACTATAAAATTGGTAACCAGTTCTGACAGATCAGTATTTCCAAATTAAAGCTTGACCCTCATTTGTCATTTAGCTACTCTGGATCCTGCCCTGTTTTATCTTTAGGATCCTTTCAGGCTCCCTGAAGCCCAGTTATAAAAAATAGGTATCTAATCTTAGTTTTTTCAATGTATATTCATTGTGTCTTTTCATAATAATTCAAATTTTTAAAGGAAAAATGACTTTTGAATTACTTTAGAAATCATAGTCTTGCAAAATCTCTGCTCTTTATTCTGTTCCTGTAAGACTTTCTTTTGTAAACATTTAACTTAACATACAAATAGGCTATCATGACCATAATAATGTCATACTTATTCCTCCAGCTTTCCTCGCCCTGTGAAGACGACTTGGTTAAATAGAAACACACCAGCACAAAACAGAGATTCTGTGATTCCAACTCTTGAAAGTGTGGTTTTTGGCATTAACTACACAAAACAGTTATCACCAGACGTAAGAATTGATATGTTTATAAATCCTTTCTTCCTTCTTATTTCAAATGAGATGTTTCTTTAATGTTTTATCTGTGAATGTGATATTTCTTTTACTAATGTTTTGAGCTCAACAAATTACAGACCTAATTAAATATGATCTTAACAAATTGGTTGGTTCTAGTTGTTTCTTTTGAAAACTTAACTGGATACTTCAAGATTTTACCAAATTTAATGGATAGAGATTCTTGACAATCAGTGCCTTTTTAAACTTGTTACTGGCACCTACCTCTTGTTCTTTTAACAGAAGTGGTAGAATCATTCCAGAGGCACCTGTGAAGAACAATTGCCAGAGTTGAGACCCAGCTTGCAGTAGTACAAGTACAGCCATTACTCCTCTGAAAGGAGAAGGGAATTATACTATAAAAGCAGAATGTCTGTCCCTCAGTCCAAATGTAAATTGAACCCCAATTTTTTAAAAATTACAATCTGCTTGTTTTAAAACTACACTGTAACTGAAATTACTAGAGTTGCATTTCATAGGTTTAAATTACTTCTATTAACAAGAGCAACTCCCTAAAATATTGCTGAATTTCTTATATGTTTTAGAATAACTGTAATTAGTAAATGCTTAGGGTTTGTAATATTTTTAGATTGTTGGTAACTAACACTCTATATTAAAAATCTATTCTTTGTTTAGGGTTGCAGCTTCATTATTGCAGACTCCTTCCTACATCATGCTTATCATTTTCATTATACGCTTTGTGCCACTTTGCTGCTGGCCTTCAAGGGATTACACAGCTACTTCATTACGGTAACAGAAGAGATTCCTTCTTGCCAGAAACTAGAACTAGGTATGTTAAAAGTTACCAGACCTGTCTTATGGTTCAAGTGATTCTCTTCATTCTCATATTGCTAGTTATCAGCTCTGACATAGTATTTCTATACTAAAACTATAATGTTTATGTGCTTCACTTTTACTTCTCTCAGTTCCATCTTTTCCCACCTTTGGTAATTACTTTCTGCAATTAAAAATTTTTTTATGATATTGAGAACTAACATGTTGGTGCTACATTTGAAGTGGATCTTTTGATAGATTTTTTTTATAAAAGCTTATGTGCATATAATACTACTCTTCAACTCTAACCAGAAAGCATACTGGAAAGCAAATCTAATTATCTGTAGAATCATGGTAAGATAAATTAAATCCATACTTCTAAATATTTAACAATCTAAGAAGTGTAGATACATAGGACATTTTTATATACATTTGGTTTTAAGTGATCTCAGATCTTATTTCTTTCATTTCACTTCAGTTTTAATCCAACAGTAATATCTGCATATATGTTTCAGTAGAGAATTAAAAAATTATATTGCCTTAATTTTGTATGTCATTTGTAGTTTGCAAAATTCTTTTACATATATAATATCACAAAAGACAAATTACTGGGATTAGCAAAAATAAGTTTTAATTTCAACTTTTAATGATAGTTATTTATAAGCTTCTATTTTAAAATATCAGGTAATAGCTCACAATAAAAAGAACATTTTAATGATCTCTTCAGAATAAATTATTTTTATTATATATTTGAATAAATCAGGAATTACTTTTTTTTAACCCTCACCCCAGGACATTTTTACATTTATCTTCAGATAGAGTGGGAGGGAGAGAGGGAGGAAAAGAGAGAGAAACATTAATGTGAGAGAGATACATCGACTGGTTACCACCCATACAACCCCAACCCGGCCAGGGACAAGCTGCAACCAAAGTATGTGCCCTTAGCAGGAACCGAACCCAGGACTCTCCGGTCCACGGGTTGATGCTCTAACCGCTGAGCAAAACCAGCCGGGGCTTACTTTTTAATTTTACTTATATTACTCAGTGTTCTTTGTTTATTTCTTTGTTCCCAAGAACCCAGTCTTTTAACAATATTGATGCACTTATAAATAGTCACTGTTACTGAAAATAATTCTTGGGTTTGAGACTAATTAGCCTGTTTTTATCATTGTCTATTTTGTGATACCAAAGAATTGTAAGAAAGTGTAATAATTTGTACCTTATTTAAACTTGGCTATGAGAAAAAGCTGGCTACTGTGCCATTCCCTATCAGCAACTACTCCAGAGGGTTTGATTAATTCCATTAGTTAGTTCAGTTCACATTTTTTTGACTTAAAAAGAAACAGATATCAATTAACTGTTTACAATATTTATTGCAAAAATCCCGGTGTTTACACAGATAAATAACCAGTAGGAAAGTGTATTTGTTCCTTTTTGCTCATGTGTTCTTCCTGAAGATAAAAATGGAAGTGTGGAAGCCTTTGGATTACTGTCCTCTGAAATATTCTTTTTCCTTGCTATTATTTCATGTACTTAGAATCCTACTGTTTCCCTTAGGAAAATCCTGTAGGAGACTACTGCCTAAAATGTAAACGTTTTAAAATGTTCTTTTTTTAGCCCTGGCCGGTTTGGCTCAGTGGTTGGAGTGTCGGCCTGCGGACCAGAGAGTCCTGGGTTCGGTTCCTGCTAGGGGCATGTACCAAAAAATAAAAGTAAAATGTTTTTTTTTAAATTGAAAGAATTTGTAGAATAGAATGATTTATCACTTATCCTCAATGGAAAAATTATAGTCCATATTTTTTTCCAATTTGTTTTTTTGGAACTCAGACACATTTTCCTAGGAGAATTATATAATAAATTTTTGTTAATTTAGATTTAATGGCCAGACTGCAAAATTATTAAACCATAATATTAATGAAGGACAGTACCACGTGCCTGAAAAGTAGTGATATAAAAAGTGGTGGTGTGAAACTTAGAAGCCATGTGTAATGATATTTCTATAAGAAAATGTGTTAATAGTTTTGATGTTGAATGCTATAGAATTCATGGAGGCATTAGCTTGTAGTGCTTAAGAGTGCATGTTTGGAGCCATTTCTGACACTAACTTTGAGACTGTATATGCAAAATGAATTTGTTAGAAAGATAGAGAGATTAAAGGGAACCAGATGTGGTGCATGAGCCTGGCAAGAAAGATGAGAACATCCAAAAGACAAAGGCTGTAAAGCAGCTCTAGGAGTAAGATTTCTTAATGGTATAATTCCCTTGGGCTTTTTACGAGGTAGATGCTGAGGAAAGAACAGGATCCCTGTCTTTTTTTTTTTTCTTTATTGATTTTACTGAGAGGAAGGGAGAGAGAGATAGAAACATCGATGAGAGAGAACATCGATTGGCTGCCTCCTGCATGCCCCCCACCAGGGATCCAGCCCACAACCTGGGCATGTGTCCTGACCAGGAATTGAACCCAGGACCTCTTGGTACATGGGTCAATCAATGCTCAACTGCTGAGCCACACCAGCCAGACCAGAGTCTCTGTCTTTAAAGAGCTTTGACTTCTCCCCTTCCCTTAAGGAATCAGTTTAGCATGGGGATGGACGAGAGAAACTCACTCGAAAGATGGGGTTTTAATGTAGAAAGTCATATATTAGATGAGCCTACATATGCTTGTATAAGGAAGATGTCTGTCAGCATTTACTATTCAAATAGATTTATATTAGCTAATGAAAAAAATACATGAACCATATTTTAACTTAAAAATTTTTTCTCTCTAAAAAGAAGTAATGTTTAAAGAAAAGCATCTCTTTTCAAAGGCAATGGTTTACTTACTTCAGATAGCTTAGACAGTGTATAAAACTTAATTTTCTCTCAGTTAAGGATTGCTTTTTTTTGTCATATATATTACTTTGGGGTTCTAGATGTAGAAAATTTCATAATTAAAAGAGCCCTTTAATTTAATTTCAGTAGTTCATTTACTAAATGAATATCAACTTTATTCCAAATTATCTGAATAATATATTTTATCAAAAAGTAAAATTCTAGTCTAGCCAGTTTGGCTCAGCGGTTCTAGCATCGGCCCTCGGAACAGAGACCCAGGTTCGATTTCCGCTAAGGGCATGTACCTTGGTTGCAGTTTGTTTCTGGCCCCAGTTAGAGTCGCGTGGGTGGCAGCCAGTCGATGTGTCTCTCTCACATGGATGTTTCTCTCTCTCTCTTCCTCCCTCTCTCTCTCCCGCTCTATCTGAAGATAAATGTAAAAATGTCCTCGGGTGAGGATAAAAAATAAAATAAAATTCTAAAGCAAACCTGGACTTTAATTTTAATAAGTAAATAATAGTGATGGAGTAAAATTATTAGTACCTTCTTCACAGTATTTACTCAAAATATATCTGTTGAATGAGTGAATGAATGCCTAAAACAGCACAATACAGTTTTTATTGTTACTTGAAATATATAGGCATCAACATATAACTTATAACAGTTTCCTAGAGATTTTTAAAATAAAGTCTCATCGTCAGTAAATATTTATTGGTAATACTTTGTGTTATGCTTAAACTTTTCATTACTGTTTGTATTTTATTTTCTATTTATTTCAACTTAGTTTATTCTTTAAAACATCTTCTAGGAGACCCTCTAAAAATACTACCAGATATTCAAAATAAAACTGCATATTCTTAGCTATTGATAATATTGTTTATTTTTATTTTAGTAAAATTAAATTGTAGGCACTAGATAATACTTCCATAAAACACCATTGACTAAACATCATTATATTCACTAGTTTTAATAAGTGGACTTAAAGTAGTTCTTAAAGTACTTAAAGTAGTTCTTGATTAAAAGATGTATTTTATTTCCTTCTACTCTTTAGCATTTTTCTTGAGTTTTCGAGTAAATATATATTTAAAAGCCTTCAACTCCACCATGCTTTGATAAATGTATCTAAACTTGACTCCATCTTTTAAAATACACCTTGAATTCCTTTCTGCTTTTGCCTTTTTATTTTCTCCTAAATGAATGATGTACATTTTTTTTTTTCTGACATATAGTTAAATGTTGGATTGGTGCAAGGAGCCCTTACTGAAAATGGGAGTCACAAGTTCTGGAATCTAAGCTTTGGCAAGTGTTAGAACCTTTCTGGGCCCCAGTATCTACACTTGTAAAAGCAAGGGTTTGACTTAGCTGATCTCTGAGATCACTGCCAACTCTAAAATTCTGAGTCCGAGAAATTAAAACATGAAAATATGGATTATGAAATATTGAGTGGTGCATACATTTAAATAGAAAAGAGAAGAAAGTAATATAAACCTGAATGTACATCATTTGTAATTCTAATAAGCTAATTAACTAACTCGAAGATTCTGCTTTAGTGTTCTAATCTAATAGCACTATCAGATCAATACTAAGTCTATTAATAAAAACTTGGAAAATTCTAATAAATATTGTTGTAAAAGGAGTATAGTAACTAGTGCTGTGTACAATCCTTATAACTAGCCAAGGCCAACATGCAGGTCCTTTATGAGCGCCTTCTCAGAAGAAAACATCCACGAACCCAGAAAGACACCTATCTAGGTATGTTTACAAATAGGTTAAGTAAATAATCCCTTTTAATTTGTATGAAATTTTGCTTTAAATTAGTGTTAAATTTTATAAATATGTATTTATTAATATATGTTTCTACCACCTTTATTTAAGAACTTTTAGAATTTGGTTTGTAGATGAGCTTTTGTTAATTTCTTAATTTGTAGTATTGAAGTTTTTATGTGAAACTAGAAATGGTAAATGCAAATATTTCTTTGCTTTTTCCATATTCTTTTCAGAGTTCCCACAAACAGCATATTTTGGCGACCATGTTTATTGCCAGAATTTGTTGGTTTAATGATACTGTCTTACATGATCTTTGAGTAGGGCTAATGATAATGAAATGTAGTTTAAAAACTGAAGCTCATTTCATGCATTACAGAAATAAAGAATAAAAACGTCTTCAGTTATCTAGTTTTGTTTTTTTGTGTCAATATACATTTATTTTTTATTCTAAATTTAAAAAGCAAAGTAGTATCCATCACCATTATCCTGATGTGTTAATATATTGTAAAGGAAATATTTTAATCTCATTACATTATTGATGTATTTCCCTATATATTTTAGACTTTTGTCTAAAATTTAATTTACTACCTTTGTGTAAGTATATTGAAAGTTTTTATTTTGCATTGGCTAGACCATCATAATTATATTTTTTTAAAGTTATGAAAGACTATAAGAATAAAATAAAATAAAAGTCTCAAAAATAAATGGTTTAACTAGAAAATATATATACTTCTCATTTTTAAACTATTGTATTATAAGCCAATTAATTTACTTCTAAATAATTTTACAAAATGCTGCTTCTATAATAAGGCCTATATAAAGAAGGGCCCAATTTTTAGTTGGATGGGAAAAGACTTGATTCAAAACTAAAGTGTAATGAATTGTTATACTTTTATTAAGTAACACTTCTATTAAGATATCTTTAATTCTTAATAGCTAGCATATCTTGGCATTTTCTGAGCTATGTTATAAATATCTGTTGAATGAATAAATAGATGAATCAACGAATGGATTTACAAAATAAGACACATTTTACCCTTTGACCTAGCACCCCACTTTTGTTAACCTATATTATAAAACTAAGAGTACTGGTATGTAAAGATATATGTACAAATATGTTTATTGCAATATTGTTCTTAGTGTTAAAACACTGAAAACAAAGATAAATGTCCATCATTTGGCAAAGAGTGGAATATAGACGAAATTATGAGGTACTCACACCAAGGAATAATATACAGCCATTTTAAAAAAATGGTTTAGGGTATATACCAGATTTTCATGGAGTAGTGCTGAGAGAAAAAGGTAAATTGCAGAAAGTGTGTAAAATATTATTTCATTTTTGTAAGTGACTCTAAAACTCATATATGTTTATGTATATATATTTGAAGAATATGGAAGGGTATGTTCTAGACTAGACTGTAATCTTGGATTACCAGGAGGAGCTAAAATAAAGATTTTATGTAAGATAATAGTCACATTTATACATTTCTACAAAATTGTATGCATATATGTCATGCTAAGAACAAAAATTAACCCTGGCCGGTTTGGCTCAGAGGTTAGAGCATCGGCCCACGGACCAGAGAGGCCCGGATTTCCCACTTAAGGGCACATACCTTGGTTGCAATTTGTGCGCGGCCTCAGTTGGGGTCATGTTTGTGGCAACCACTCAATGTGTCTCTCTTCCTCCCTCCCGCTCATTCTGAAGATAAATGCAAAAATGTCCTCGGCTGAGGATGAAAAAAAAAAAGAACAAAAATTAATTAAAATGGAATTTTAAACTCAGTTAACACTCCTAAATGATTTTGAAATCATTAGAACTCAAAGATTTTGAGATTAAGTTTTGCTTTTAAACATTCTTTAAGATACTGTTTACATTGAAGTACCTTTCAATAGCCATAATGCAGCTGAACCAGTTCATGCATTTAGATCTTGTATGTAAAAATTTTTTTAATGTATCAAAACATTAAAGTTTTTTATTTTTTTGAAAGTCATAGGTAGGATACGTAACTACTAAAACTTAACTTTTTCTTCCAACACAGGAAAAGATCATGAGTAATATGAAAACGTTGACATATTAACGTTATTTTAATACAGGATTTCCTGCTGATTTTTTTTTTTTTTTAAACTTAATAATAGAAGCCACTGGTTTATCTGACAATGAAATGATTTGTGAAATCTTAGCAGATTTCTTTTTTTTAAATTAATTAATTTATTTTTGTTACAGATGTTTCTCCTTTTTCTCCCACTGAATCCCCCTCTCCCCGCCCTGTCCCCAGTTTTATTGTCCATGTCATTTGTTCGTGCATACATGCTTATAAGTTCTGTGGTTCTTATCTCCCCCACCACCCCCTATTCTGGGGATTGTCAGTCTGTACCCCACTTCCATGTCTCTGGTACTACTTCATTCCTCAGACTGTTATGTTCATTATATTCCACAAATAAGTGAGATCATATGATACTTGTCTTTCTCTGTTTGGCTTATTTTGCTTAGCATAATACTTTCCAGGTCCCTTCATGTCATCTCAAAGGATAAGAGATCTTTCTTTCTTACAGCTGCATAGTACTCCATTGTGTATATGTACCAAAGCTTTTTTATCCATTCGTCTACTGATGGACACTTGGGCTGTTTCCAGATCTTAGCTATTGTAAATAGTGCAGCTACGAACATGGGGGTACATATATTCTTTCCGATTGGTGTTTCAGGCTTCTTAGGGTATATTCCTAGAAGTGGGATCACTGGGTCAAATGGCAGTTCAATTTTTAATGTTTTGAGGTAACACCATATTGTTTTCCATAGTGTCTGCACCAGTATGCATTTCCACCAGCAGTGTACTAGAGTCCCCTTTTCTCCACACCCTCGACAACACTTGTTTGATGATTTGTTGATGGCAGCCATTCTGACAGGTGTGAGGTGATACCTCATTGTTGTTTTAATTTGCATCTCTCTGATGATTAGCGATGTTGAGCATTTCTTCATATGTCCTGTTCAGAGAGGTGTCTATTTAGTTCCTCTGCCCATTTTTTAATTGGGTTCTTTGTCTTCTTTTCATTGAGTTGTATGAGCACTCTATATATATTGGAAATTAACCCCTTATCTGATATATCATTGGCGTTTATGCTCTCCCATACAGTGGGTTGCCTTTCCATTTTGATGATTGTATCTTTTGCTGTACAGAAGCTTTTGAGTTTGATGTAGTATCATGTGTTCATTTTCTCCTCTGCCTTAGGTGATGTATCAGTGAAAATTCTGCTGCATATGATGTCTGAAATTTTGTTGCCCGCATTTTCTTGTAGGATTTTTATGGATTCATGAGTCACATTTAAGTCTTTTATCCATTTTGAGTTTATTCTTGTGTATGGTGTATGTAAGTTGATAGTCTAGTTTCATTTTTTTTTTTTTTTTGCATTTAGATGTCCAATTTTCCCAACACCATTTATTAAAGAAGCTGTCTTTACTCCACTGTATGCTCTTGCCAACTTTGTCAAATATTAATTGAGCATATTGCCTTGGGTCTGTTCCTGGGTTCTCTTTTCTGTTCCACTCACCTTTCTGCCTTTTCTTGTGCCAGTACCAGGCTGTTTTGATTACACTGGCTTTGTAGTATAACCTGAAATATGGTAATGTGATCCTTCCAACTTTGTTCTTCATTTTCATGATTGCTGTGGCTATACGAGGTCTTTTTTGGTTCCATATGAACCTTGGAAGTATTTGTTCTAGTTCTGTGAAGTATGTCATTGGTATTTTTATGGGGATTGCATTGAATCTATAGATTGCTTTGGGTAGTATGGATATTTTAATGATGTTAATTCTTCCAATCCATGAACAGGTATGTGCTTCCACTTTTTTATATCTTCCTCTATTCCTTTTTTCAATGAACTGTAGTTTTCTGCGAATAGGTCCTTTATTTCTTTGGTTAAGTTTATTCCTAGGTATCTTAATTTTTTTGCTGCAATGGTAAATGGGATTTTTTTTTAGTTTCTCTTTCTACACATTCATCATTGGTGTATAAGAATGCCATCAATTTCTTGACGTTAATTTCGTATCCTGCTACTTTGCCAAATTCATTTATTAAGTCTAGTAAATTTTTTATGGAGTCTTTGGGGTTTTCTACGTATAGTATCATGTCATCTGCAAATAATGACAGTTTCACTTCCTCCTTTCCAATTTGGATTCCTTTTATTTTTTCTTCCTGCCTGATTGCTGTGGCTAAGACTTCCAGTCCTCTGTTAAATAAGAGTGGCGAAAGTCGGCATCCTTGTTTTATTCCTGTTCTTAAAGGAAATGCTTTTAATTTTTTCCCATTAAGTATGATGTTGGCTGTAGGTCTTTCATATGTGGCCTTTATTATGTTGAGATATGATCCCTCTATTTCCAGATTGCTGAGCGTTTTTATCAGAAATGGGTGCTGGACTTTGTCAAATGCTTTTCCAGCGTCTATTGATATGATCATATGATTTTTATCTTTCATTTTGTTTATGTGGTGTATCAGATTTATTGATTTTTGTTGTAACAGCCTTGCATCCCTGGGATGAATCCCACTTGGTCATGGTGAATAATTTCTTTGATGTATTGCTGGATTCGATTTGCTAGTATTTTGTTCAGGATTTTGGCATCTATGTTCATCAGGGACATTGGCCTGTAGTTTTCTTTCTTTGTAGTGTCTTTTTCCGGTTTTGGAATTAGAATTATGCTGGCCTCATAAAACGAGTTTGGAAGTGTACCTTCTTCTTGAATTTTTTGAAATAGTTTGAGGAGAATGGGTTTAGTTCTTCTTTGAATGTTCGGTAAAACTCCCCCGCAAAGCCGTCCAGGCCTGGGCCTTTGTTTGCTGAGAGAGTCTTGATTACATCTTCAATTTCTTCTGTTGTTATTGGTCTGTTCAAGTTTTCTATCTCTTCCCGGTTCAGTTTTGGGAGAGTATGTGTTTCTTGATATTTGTCCATTTGACTTAGATTGTCGAATTTGTTGCCATATGATTATTCATTATATCTATTAACAATCCTTTATATTTCTGTGCTGTCAGTCATTCTCCTCTTTCATTTCTGATTTTGTGTATTTGGGTTCTCTCTCTTTGTTTCTTGGTGAGTCTAGCTAAGTGTCCATCAATGTTGTTTATCTTTTCAAAGAACCAGCTCTTTGTTTTTGGTCTCCATGTCATTTATTTCTGCTCTGATCTTTACCATTTCCTTCCTTCCACTTGCTCTGGGGTTTTCTTTTTGTTTGCCTTCTAGTTCTTTAAGTTGTGAGGTTAGATAGTCTATTAGAAATTTTTCTTGCTTCTTGAGTTAGGCCTCTAATGCTATGAACTTCTCTCTCAGAACTGCTTTCGCTGCATCCCATAGATTTTGTGTTGTTGTGTGTTCATTTTCATTGGTTTCCAGGAAGTTTTTAATTTCTTTCTTTATCTCCATGGTAACCCATTCATTGTTTAATGACATGTTATTTAGCCTCCATGTTTTCAAATGTCTTTGCATGTTCTTGTTGGAATTGATTTCTAGTTGCATGCCATTGTGATCTGAGAAGATGCTTGATATGATTTCAATCTTCTTGAACTTGTAGAGACTTAGTTTGTGCCCTAACATGTGACCTGTCTTTGAGAATGTCCCATGTGCACTTGAGAAGAATGTGAGTTCTGCAGTTTTGGGGTATAATTCTCTGTAGATATCTGTTAAATCTATTTGATGTAACGCTTCATTTAGAGTTTGTGTTTCCTTGTTAATTTTTTGTCTAGAAGATCTATTCAGTGATGTCAGCAGGGTATTGAAGTCCCCTGCTATGATTGTATTGTTGTTTATTTCTCCTTTGAAGTCCTCCAGAAGATTTTTAATATATGTTGGTGCTCCCATATTGGGTGCATATATGTTTACCAAGGTTATATCTTCCTTTTGGATAAATCCTTTCAATTATGTAATGGCCTACTTTGTCTCTAGTTATGGCCTTCATTTTGAAATCTATTTTATCAGATATGAGTATTGCTGCCCCAGCTTTCTTTTGTTTTTTGTTTGATTGAAAGATTTTTTTCCATCCCTTCACTTTGAACCTATGTAAGTCTTCTGTTGTGAGGTGGGTCTCTTGTAAACAACATATATATAAGTCATGCTTTCTTATCCATTCAGCTACTCTGTGTCTTTTTATGGGAGCATTCAAACCATTCCCATTTAATTGATATGTACTTATTTACTGCCATTTTTGTTTAGTGTGGTTCTATTTTTCTTCCTATTTCTACTACGAATTACAGCAGCCTTTTAGCATATCTTGCAGGCCTGGTTTGGTGTTAATATATTCCCTTAGCCTTTTTTTGTCTGGAAAGCTCTTTTTTTGACCTTCTATTTTGAATGATAGCCTTGCTGGATAGAGTAGTCTTGGATTCAGATCCTTGTTTTTTGATTACTTCATGCCACTTCCTTCTGGCCTGTCGTGTTTCTGTTGAGAAGTCAGCTGAGAGCCTTATGGGGTTTCCTTTGTAGGCAACCTGTTGCTTATTTCTTGCTGCCTTTAGGATTCTCTTTGTCATTAATTTTTAGCATTTTAATTACTATGTGTCCTGGTGTGGGCCTGTTTGGGTTCTTCTTATTGGGGCTCTCTGTGCTTCTTGAACTTGAATGCCTTCTTCCTTCACCAAGTTAGGAAAGTTTTCTGTCACTGTTTCTTCAAATATATTCTCTAACCCTTACCCATTTCATTTTCTTCCTCTTTGGGAATTCCTATGATGCTAATGTTATTACATTTCCGGTTTACTCCACAGTTCTCTTAAGCTATCTTCCTGCTTTTTTTTTTTTTTAATTCTCACCCGAGGACATTTTTCTGTATTTTTGTTCAGATAGAGTGGGGGGGGGGGAGAGAGAGAGAGAAAGAAAGAAAGAAAGAAACATCGACGTGAAAGGGACACACCGAGTGTTTGCCACCCGCACAACCCAACCAGGGCCAGGGACAAACCGCAACCTGGGCACACGCCCTTAGCGGGAACCGAACCCGCGTCTCTCTGGACCGCCGGCCGTCGCTCTAACCGCTGAGCCAAACCGGCCAGGGCTCTTCCTGTTTTTTTAATTGTTTTTTTCTTTTGGTTTTATGATTGGTTGATTTTTTTCTACCCTGTCTTCTAATTCACTGATCCAGTCCTCAGCTTCCTCTACTCTTTGCAGCTTTCTTTAGCTATCAATGTGTTGACCTAATTTGTGATCTCGTTCTTGGTATATTTTAATAACTAAATATAATTTTTTTATTATTTTGTGAATTACAAAATTTATGTGTTCTACTGGTTTTTATTAATAGAATTTCTGTTCACTTCATAGTTAGGTTGTATTTAGCACATATTATAATTGCTATTTTATCAAATTTAAATGTTTATCACTCTTTTTATCAAGTAGTAAATATTCAGTCAGCCTTATGAGATATTGAGTTGGTGAGTGAATTCAAGGATGTCATAGAAAATATTCTTGCCTTTGTGTGAAAATAGTCAATTAAACTCTGAGCAACAAGATTATAGAATTTTGTGTGATCACAACTATGCTATTATAGTTCTCTCATTTTGGTTTGATTTCTGATTTAAAATGAAGTATATCTAAATATGGTATTTCAGACTTTAAGGAATTTTTTTTTTTCTAAAAAAAAACCTAATACATGTGTCTATTCTGTTAGTTTCTGTATTCCCTTGTAAATTTTACCATTTTAATTGCAAATTAATGTGTTCATCCCTTTTATAGATGATTGTATGGAAAAATTTTACCTCACTGTTAGACTTAGAGAAAACTGAATATTAAACTAAATTAGATAGAAACTTACTTTTTATTGGAGAGGATTTTGTCATTATATAGCCTATAATCCAGGTGTGTTTTAAATACTTTTTGGTTATGAAAATTAATTTGACTTGAATAGCTTTTGTAAAAAGCAAAGCATTTACACATATAAGACAAAATACTAAGCTTTAGGGGAACTTACAATATGTGAAATGCAATAAAACTTAATTATATGTTTTGTCTTTTCTGTGATACAATTATGCAAGTAACTTTAGGTATATAGTCAATATTTCCTTGACTGAGAACTGACACACTCTATTTAATAGAGCATAGAGTTTAATGATTATCACATTACCTTCATGATTAATGTGTTTATGAATATACTTTATATTGAAATTTAATTTATTAAATATAGTCAAGATATTTTTTAACAGGTTCTTAAGGGGTAATTTAATTTACATAATTTTCAAAATAGTTTTCAGATCTAAAGTACTGAAGTACTTTCTCTAATTATTCTTTAATCCTTTCAGAGGAAATGGATGTAGAAGCTCGGCTGACTGAACTATGTGAAGAAGTTAAGGTACTTGGATTCTTAAAATTCACATTATCTAGTTATTTGAGTGGATTGTGTTTCCTATTTTAAAAATTGTGTCTAAGAAAACTTGATAATTAATTATCCTGCCCTGGCCAGTTTCGCTCAGCGGTTAGGGCATTGGTCTGTGGACCAAAGAGTCACGCGTTCGATTCTGTCCAAGGGCAGGTACCTCAGTTGCGGTTCATCCCCAGCCCTGGTCAGGGTCGTGCGGTAGGCAACCTATCAATGTGGCCCTCTCACGTTGATGTCTCTCTCTCTCTGTCTCTCTCTCCCCCGTGTTGATCATGGTAGAACCACTGCTTAGTTGATCAAAAGACATTTGACTTAGGCATAAAATCTCTATATAAGTGAAATAGCCAAGCCAACTGATCAAACGTTTGCTTTTCTTCGATTAATTTACTCAAAGATTTTCTGGACAAATTTTTAAAACATCACTTAAACTTGCATATATTTATAAAATGATATTGTTTAGAAATGAAAATTTGTTTAATTTCAACAGGTCAGATTTTTGCACAACCTTAAAAATGATGCTTTCAACAGATGTTTGATGCTATGGGAAAATATTCACATTGTGATATTCAGTGAAAAGGGCATGAAACGTAATCTTGTTTGTAATCAAACAAGATCTTTGAGTGCTATGAAAAAGTATATGTTCCATGTAAGCCAAGATAATGGTATTTGAAAAAATATGATGCAAATGTAAGATCTTATTATTCCTACATTTATACATATAAAAGATCTTCTCAAACTTAATTATGAGAAAATTCTAATTTTCTTTTAAACATAGAAGAATCTTATTATTTATATTTTAAGACTTATTGTAAAGATGTATGTAAACCAGCCCTGGCTGATTTGGTTCAGCCATTAGAGTGTCAGCCAGCGGACCAGAGAGTCCCAGGTTCGGTTCCCACTAAGGGCATGTACCTCGGTTGTAGTTTGTCCCTGGCCCTGGCAACCACTCGATGTGTCTCTCTCACATCAATGTTTCTCTCTCTCTCTCTTCCTCCCTCCCTCCCTCCCACTCTTTCTGAAGATAAATGCAAAAATGTCCTCAGGTGAGGATTTAAAAAAAAAAAAAATGTAAACCAGAAGAGTAACTTATTTATATTTTAAGGGATGCTTTCCCAGTAATGAACATACTAAAGACCTCTCTCAGAACTGTGGTGCCATGATCCCTGAGAAATAAAATTAATAATGACAACGTATCTGGATAGCCCTGGTCTCAGGAAAGGGGAGGGGAGGAATGTATACTTTATTCAGCCCATGGGGTAAGACCAGGGGAATTATTTCTACTTGTTTGTAGGTTATATTAGGTACAGTGTTGCTTGCCTTAGGAGAGCTATTTAATTACTGTCATGCTTATCTAAGTCTTCTTTAAACTTTGTTTAAACTACTGTTGAAACAATATTGCAGATTTCAGTTTATTTTAGAGTACATTGTCATCTTCTGTGTGTTCTTAAGAGAGACATTAAAAATTTATTGGCTTAACCCTGGCCAGGTGGCTCAGTTGGATGGAGTGTTGTCCCATGCACCAAAAAGGTTGCAGGTTCAATCCCCAGACGAGGCATATACAGAAGGCAACCAATCTATGTTTCTCTCTCACATCAAGTTCCCCCCTCCTCCTCTCTCCAAAATCAATGAACATATCCTTGGGTGAGGATTTTTAAAAGATTGTCCACTTCATTTCCAATACATTTATAAATCATTCCTTGGGGAAAAACACATCTGTAGATTTATTATATGTTGATGAATCAAGATTTATCACCCTGTTAGCTTCCATTTCAGAGTTCTAGAATTAGTCAACATTTTCTGAGTTTAGCCATAAATTCTGGGAGCTTTTTCCTTATCTGAAGCCGGTAATTCCTTATTTATTCAGTAGATATTTACTGAGTGACTACTATGTATCAGTAACCAAAGTTACAAAAGAGAATAAAAGACTATCTCTTTCTTTATTACTAATTATGCTGAATTTTTGTCTAATGTGCTCTCTGAGTTATGATAGATAAATGGAAACTTGTTTCGGGTCTGTGAAGAAAATCTTACTGAATTGCAGACATCAAAAAGAAGTAAAAATATCGGCTGGTGTTGCTCAATGGTTGAGCATCGATTGACCCATGCACCAAAAGGTTGCCGGTTTGATTCCCAGTCAGGGCACATGCCCAGGTTGTGGGCCAAATCCCCAGTGGAGGACGTGCAGGAGGCGGCAAATCGATGTTCTCTCTTGTGGATGTTTCTATATCTCTCTCCCTCTTCCTTCCCCTCTCTGTAAAATCAATAAAAAAAAAAATATTTTAAAGATGTAAAAATAAACTGAAATTATGAATATAATATGTGATAAGCAACATTTGAGGGGCTAGGGAGGTTTATTTATTTTTGCTTTGTTTTTTAGAAAGGGAGAGAGTAGAGATATAATTAGTATAATTTGGCATAAATTGAATTTGAGCAACTTTTTTTTCATGTTCAAGTATAGTCATCCAGTAGGTAATAGGTCTAGAGATCAAGAGAAATGTGACCCAGTGATTAAAACTATGGGAGTGACTTTCAACTTCAACCTCAATATATTACTTCTACCTTTTTTAGGATTGGGAAATGAAATTTATCTCTATATATTTAGAGTAGATATCCTAGTATTATTAATAATTGAAGACAGATTTTTGCAATAAGAAATTATCTGCCCCAAAACTGGCTGCTGCCTCAGTTATAGAAAAAACCATCCTTATGATAAAAATGCTTGTCCGAAAGAGAAGCAGTCATTTTTGTTTTATAGTCTTTTGTTGTTCTTTGTTCAGAAATCTTTAGTTTATCAAGAAAACCAAATGACTTTTTAAAAATTTTATATAATCTAGTTTCATAGTATAATCTGGTACTCTTAACTTTTATCACTTTAGGTGAATATTTAAATAAATGGAATAATTTAATACCAGTATAATAGCATATTATAATTGTTTACCCACCTTTATTTCTTCACTAGACAGTGAGCTTCTCATGTTACTCTTTGTATCTGTAGAATGTTAGGCCCTAGAATTTAAAATGTGCTCAATAAACAGTGGGTGAAAGAGAAAGAAAGAAGTGTTTGACAAGTCTGTAAAAGAATTATTGAAAGCAAAATCAAACATAGGGGTCATAGCAGTAATTTAAAAGCAATACTTTAGAAAGTCCCTCAGTCCTTTATGAGTTACAGATCTTTTAAGTACTTTATATTCTTGATTGGAGAGAATAAATCTTATAAGATTTTATTATCTTTCAAAAATTTTATAGCTTTCAGAATGATTTGTACATTGTGTTTAAATTCCCAATATTTTAGTTTTTGGAATTGATCATGCGCTATAGAATTCTGATTTGTAATTTTGTCCTGTATTTTACATTGTAGTTACAAGATACCTCAAATATTGAAATATTAGTTAAGTTGTTGAAAATTGCTGTAGTAACTATCAAATAGAAAAAAGTCATTAGTCAGTTGTTCTCTTACACACACACACACACACACACACACACATTTCTTTTTAAAATTAAACATTGTTCTTTGTATTAATATTCTCAATAATGTATTATATTTAGATATGTTATACTACGTCTCAGAGAGCAATGAAAGTTTTTTTCTGTCATTTCAGAAAATAGAAAATCCTGATGAACTGGCAGAACTTATAAATATGAATCTTGCACAACTTTGCTCACTTCTAATGGCTTTATGGGGACAATTTCTGGAAGTTATAACACTACATGAAGAACTAAGACTCTTATTAGCGCAAGAGAACCATACTTTGAGGGTAAGTTAAAGAAAAGTGATGTTAGAGCGCTTAAATATCATTTATCTTCAGAAATTTCTTATGAGTGAAAAACCTGATTTTTACCTCATATGTTGATCATCTGAAAAGAGGCATTTATTATTGTGTTATTGTTTAATTTCTAAAGATAATGATAAAACAATACAGTTGAGCACATAACCTGAACTTAGTTACAACCCTGCTGGTAAGAAAAGTCACCGAGATGTAAATAAAATAGAAAAATGTATGATACAAATTGGTCTGGAAAACACAAGATCAGGAAATATTTATATATCTTCACGTCTTGTTAGGAACAGAAATCAAGAACTAGAAAGCCATCTCAAACTAATGTAGCCTATCCATATTCTATTTCCTGTTCAAATAGTTTGCCCGTTTTTCTATAGGATTACCTTTCTTTTTCTTCTTGATTCATAATCGTTTTCTATGTATTCTAAATACTGGTCCTGTGTTATGTTTTATAAATTAATCTTATATCATGGTTTCTTGTTTTCACTGCATTTATGCTATTTTTTGATGAACTAGAGGTCTTAATTTTAGTGCAGATGGAACAAAAGAGAAAGACTGGACTTGGTCATATCCATATTTGGACATAATATATGCAGATCGACAAGGAGTGTATAATACTCTCATACTATACTCTTCATCAGAATCACAAGTTACTATTTTGGCACATTTGCTTTATTATGTCTTCTTTTTGTAGATAGATACATATATTGGACCATTCAATAGTTATAAACATCATGCTCTTTTATCCCTAAATACTTCAGGGTATATTGACTAAGAACAAAGATAAGTCTCTTACTTAACCACAGTACAGTGACAAACTCTAATATTGATACAGTACTATCATGTACAATTCATTTTTAAATTTTATCAGTTGACTTAATAATGTTCTGTGTGATAACCTTTTCCTCCTTTTTCAGGATCAAATTTAGGACCACACATTGCATTCAGTCGTCATATTTTTTAAATCTCTTTTTAGACTTATTTAATCTGGAAGTTTTTTGGGTTTTTTTTGGTCTCATGACTGACTTTTTTGAAGAATATTGGGCAGTAGTTTTGTAGACCATTTTCAACTTAAGTGGTACAATATTAGTAGGAATACTGTGTTTTATTAATTTTTCTATCAGTTTTGGTAAGTTACATTATTCTAGAAGTTCTGTCTAAATGTGTTAATTTATTGGCATCAAATATTCATAGTATCCTTCAATTTTCTTTTTAACACCTGCAGTACCAGTAGTTTTTCCTGTTTCATTCCTGTTATTAGTTATTTGTGTCTTCACTCTTTTTTCATTAGTCCCACCAGAAGTTTGTCATTTTATTCATTATTTTCAAAGAACCGACTTTTAATGTTGTTAATTCTCTCCTGTTTTGTTTTCTGTTTCACTAGTTTTGTTTCTGACTTTAGTATTTCCTTTTATTTTTTATAGGTTTATTTTGCTCTCTTTATAAACTTCTATAAGTAGATGGTTAGCTTATTAATTGTAGCATTTCTTTTCTATTACACGCATTTAAATTTGTAAGTTTTAAAGTACTTCTTTAGCTTCATTCCACAAGTTCTAATATGTTTTTTTTATCCTTCAGTTCTCAATATTTTCTAATTTTTTGTGAGCAACTTATTCTTTGATTCATAGTTATTTAGAAAAGTTTCTCCCATTAGCAAATATTTTTTATAATTTTTAAAAATGAATACATCTATCTGTTTCTTCATTTTTTTGTATACAAACAGAAACAGTATACTAGTCATTGAGAGGACACCATACATGACTGCCAAATGGGGAAAATGGCAGCCTACTATAACAGTTTGTTTGGGAACTTAACATCTATTGTATAACAATCTTTAATTTAATGTAATGCATATAAACAAAACTTTTATCAAGTATACATCAAATTTGTTGTCTCAGATTTAGCTAGTGTTATTTTTCTCTTGCTGAGAAGTCCAAGAAATTGAGCACCTACCTATAGTCAGTATTATTCTTAAATAAAGGAACAGAGATAGTTCTGGTCCATAAGTTGCCATGTTTTGTATCAAGTGACTCTGAAATTGTGAATTAGAGGTTGGCACTTAGCCAAAAACCAGTCATCTACAGCATAGACATGAGGAAGACTAGTAATTTTTGAGTGGCCTGCTACATAAACTCTGCCAATTTGGGGTATTTTCTAATAAAACAGTATGTTCAGATTATTTCTCTTGAGTAATTTAAACATGAAACACACAAGAAGAGAACAGGTAAGCAGTGGCAGAAACCAAGAGAGAGAATGTTATTGGCAAAACCCATGAGACAGTAGAAGCCACGGATAAACCAATTATCTACCATAAAATAAGATGACAGTAAAAAGGGTTAAAAACAAAGCAGAGAGAGTCAGAGACAGAGAGGAACATGAGAATGGAAGAACGACCAGAAAAGAGAACAACAAATGCTTGTTTCTGAAATAACAGCTACTAATGTGATATTAGGATATTAATCTATTTTGTTATTTCCTAAATGGCAATGAACAGCATTCCTTTTCACAAGAACTGGCTGTTTGGTTGCAGATATTGATCTCATATATAAAAAATCCTAAAGATACAACCAAAAAAAAAAAATTGAAATCAGTAAAGTTGTAGGATATTGTCAACTTATTGGAAATAAAATCAACATTCAAAAATTAGTTGTATTTTGTAGACTATCAATGAAATATCTGAAAAAGAAATAACAGGAGCTGAAAAATCTGTACACTGAAAGTCTTTGATGAAAGAAATTGAATATCATACAAACAAATGGAAACATATCCTATATTCATGGAGAAAATTGATATTGTTAGAATGACTGTACTACTGGAGGCCATTTATAAATTCAGTGAAATTCTTATAAAATTTCAATTGTGTTTGTCACAGAAATAGAAAAAATAAAAGACCCTAAATAGCCAAAGCCATTTGGAGAAATACATATTCACAGAAATGTATATTTACAGTTCTTTGCTCAAATTTTAAATGGGATTATTCATCATTGTTGAGTTGCAGGAATTTTTGTTGTTGTTGTTGTTAATCCTCACCTGAGGATATTTTTCCATTAATTTTTTTATAGAGAGAGAGTATACGGAGGGGGGGGAGGCGAGAGAGAGATATGGATGTGAAAGACACATCAATTGGTTGCCTCCTGCTCATTCCCTGACCCGAGTCAGGGATTGATCCTGCAACCCAGGTACATGCCCTGACCAGGAATTGAACCTGTGCCCACTTGGTCCGCAGGCCAGTGCTCTAACCACTGAGAAACACTGGCCAAGGCAGAAATTCTTTATATATTCCAGAAACTAGATTCATCAGATATATGATTTTAACCATCTTTTTACCATCTTCATAGTGTCCTTTGAGGCATGGACATAAAGACAGGAAGATAAATCCTAAACTCATTTTGTTTCCAGTAAAAGGGACTTAAAAATTAAGGCAAATATAGTCAACAGTTATTTTTTTGGTAAAATTTTTAAACGACACAACTTTTTTAATTGAAAAAAAAATATTGTGGTTATGGCTGCTACTAATACAGTCTTCTTGAAATCACTAATTTGTTACATGTTGGGGGAAATCTACATGACAAGAGGGAGAAAGGTTTTTTAAATCTAAATTTACTTAATGTCTATGTGTTACAGTAAACTCTCATATCTGATATCCGTGTATATTTGACTTTTTAAAAATTCAGTCAACAAAGGCTTAGCACAGAAACTTTGCATTCATGAGATCTAAATTTTATGAACTCCAATACAAGCGTCTTGATTTATAATTGGTAACATGTTTTGAAAACCAGGCATAAAATCTATTATCTGCTTCTTCTGTTTAACAAATTGACTGGTGAAAAAAAAAAATGAAAGGGAATAAATCTTGGTGTCTTTAATCAATATTGACACATATAAGGTGAGGGATTTTTTTCCCTTAAAAATGATCTTGCTGCTAAAATTTTCAACAAAACATTAGCAAACTGAATTTAGCAATAACTTAAAAAGATAATACACCATGTTCAAGTGGGATTTATTCTGGTGATGCAAGGTTAGTACAATATTTGCAAACCAATAAACAAGATATATCACATAAACAAAATGAAAGATAAAAATTATATGATCATATCAGTAGATGCAGTAAAAGCATTTGCTAAAATCCAAGACCCATTTATGATAAAAACTCTCAGCAATGAGGGAATAGAGGGAACATACTTCAACGTAATAAAAGCCATACATGATAGACCCACAGCCAACATCAAGCTCAAAAAGTAAATATGTTTTCCTTAAGATCAGGGACAAGACAGGGATATCCACTTTAACCACTCTTATTCAACATAACACTGGAAGGTATAGCCACAGCAATCAGACAAAAAGAAGTAAAAGTTATTCAAGTTTGAAAGGAGGAAGAAAATCTGTCATTATTTTAAGATGACATGATATTATATATAGAAAACCATAAACACTTCAACAAAAAACTACTAGAACTGATAAATGAATCAGTAAAGAAGTAGGGTACAAAATTAATATTCAGAAATCAATGGCACTTTTATAGACCAATAATAAACTCATCAGAAAGAGAAACTAAGAAAACAATCTCATTTACAATTGCAACAACCACAACAACAAAATAAGGTACCTAGGAATAAATCGAACTCTGGAAATTATAGATACTAAGGAAAGAAATTGAGGAAGATACAAATAGTGGAAGCATATACTGTGTTCATGGATAGGAAGAATTAACATCATTAAAATGTCCATATTGCCCTGGCCGGTTTGGCTCAGCGGTTAGAGCATCAGCCTGCAGTCCAGAGAGACCCAGGTTCAGTTCCCACTAAGGGCATGTACCTCAGTTGCAGTTTGTCCCCGGCCCTGGTTGGATCGTGCTGGTGGCAACCACTCGATGTGTCCCTTTCACGTCAATGTTTCTCTCTCTCTCTCTCTCTCTCTCTCTCTCTCTCTCTCTCTCTCCCTCCCCCCTCCCTCCCCCCTCCCTCCCTCCCACTCTA